GAGAAGAAATCAATAGCAAGTTTCTTTTAGAGTGTCTTTTGAAGGACATCTACAGCAGTACGTGCATGAGGGTACGGTGTCAGGAGCCGGTGTGCATGAGTACTGCCCCGAGGTGGGTATGAAATGTGCACTCAAGCACATGCATACACAAAACACAGCTACTTTTCTGCCGTGTTTCCAGTTTTCCAATCCCAGCCAGCGAGAGCTAATATGTGTTAAGAAGTCAGCAGTGTCAGGTGCCACCAGGCTGAAGGAGCATTTTTTTTACACACGTTTACTTCAGAAAGAATTCATTGCCTTGGAAATAAGCCACGTGAACCAGCCTCCCAAAGTTCATTCGGAATATCCACAGAGTAGATACAGGTAGCTGGCAGCACTTCCAGGCTTTTTCATCCTGCCTGGGCCATGCCAGGTGGCCACTCTGATAGCTTTGATTGACAATGGTACACACAAAATTAAAGCTGTGTGTAGTAATAGCTGCTTGTTAAAGAAAAGCTTTTGCTTTTCTGTTTTAATATCAGAGGTAAGGCTTCCTGCTGTCTCATATGAAGACTTTCCAAATTTTGTCTCATTCCTGAAATGAAAAAAAAGTTCATAGGCAGAAGGTCTGATGGAGGTCTCTAAACACAAGTAGCTGCTTAAGCTTTTCTTCAGCTCTAGCTATGAAGCAGAGAAACATAATGAAGCAATGTCTTAGTAGCCTGATTGATGGGAGAAATGCACACATTAAAATGCACTCCCAGCTGCACGGAGGAGCGGGCACAGTGAGCTCAAATCAAAAGTGAATTTCCTATAAATATGCAGTGGAAGGATGGGGGTTGATTACTCTCCTGATCTTGTCTGTGCTTTGAAGAGCCGGACATGAAATTCAGCACTGGAAGTCTGCAGTGTGTGATCCTGAGTGTAGGCAGGACTCCTCGTTTTAGCTGTAGGGCTGAACTCCTGCTTAGTCTCTCGCTTCTCTTGCCTCCCCACCAGTAGGGCTGTACTGGTAATTAGATGGAGTTACAGATTTCGCCAGTGTCAAGTTAACTGAGGAAATGTATGAGAAAAGCCCTTATACACGGGTTTCTCAGCTGAAAAGTGAAGGACAAAGTAATGTTCCCTTGTACAATGAGAGGGAAGCGATTACTTTATTAAGTGCATGTGGCATTTCTATAACCTGATGGCAATATTCATCGTAGCTGGGTAAGGTTGCTACGCTGTGGCTGCCAAATGCAATGAATGTCAATACCCCTGAATGCTATAATTAATAATAAATAAATCTTATTTATTCAGCATAATAAATAATACTAAAAACCCTAAACATTTATTAACAACTGTGCTGATGTTTGGCAGAAAGTATTTCACGCATTACTTTTCTGATCTTTTTTGTTAGGTAACATAACATTAGTAGCAATGAGCCTCTGTCAAGATTTAAAAAAAAAAAAAAAATCACTCTGAGTTCTCAAGCCTATTAAGTTAAAAATGAGATCAAGTCTTTGGTGGCTCAGGTGACAACCTGCTTACAGATCCCAGGGTGATATTCAGAGCACGCAACGCACAGAATTACCAAAAAACCCTCCAAGAAAAGGGTGTTATCACATTCCCGTCAATTAATGAGACTACTTACGGAGCTAAAAGGGCTGAGTTTGGGATTTTATTATTATTCACACAGTTATAGTTACATAAGTCGTAAGTAATGACAACGCAGAACTGGAATGGTGACATTTATCACGCAAACAGGTCTATTCCTTGCTCTTTGCTCTTCAGATTTATTAAACAGATTTATCTAACATGGGTATCTGTGTTTCTTTTTGTTCCCCTCAATTTAAGCGTAGTGACAACCTGCACATTACTCTGATATAGTGGCTAATCTCAGGTGTGTTGGGAGAGAAAAACACAATAAAAATCCACAGCTTCTCAGTCCACGACAAGTGCTGCTAGTACTGAGTATTGTATTCAGCCCACATAGGTATTAATAAAAAAGTCAAAACAGGGTTTTGCTACTTCTTTTTCCTTTAATATTTGAGGATTTATGAGGAATCCCTCCCAACCCCATGCTTGTGCTGTCAGCTATTCTGCTAGGGAATTTTTCAGGTATTTATGTGCAATTTAAACTGAACGGTAATGCCACTTCATTTATGTCAGGGACTGCAATATTTAATAGCCAAAATCAAGTCTTAGTAACAGATTAGGAAGGGTTTGAGAAATCTGTAAAAGAGGAAAAAGTGAAAACGAATGCTCTTTGGTTTAAATCTTCTTCCAGAGACTTTTTTAACTAAGAAGTTTCAAAGCTATCATTCAAAATCATTAACTTACAAGCAAAATTACACAGTAGGTAGGTTACCTTAATAAGCTTTCACTTGCTATTAGTCTTCCTCACTGCAATTATGATGAATATATTCCCAAAATCTTTGCAGAATTGGGCTCTACTTGTTTTCTGTGCTCTCAAACTGGACTACCCTTTACATGTTTGAGCATTATTCTTTCCTAGCCAAGTAAAATTATTTCTATCTGAAAAATCTCGACATGGAAAACAGCTCAGAGAGATTGTGCCTGACTCACATTTGACTATTTTATCCTGTAATTTGTTTCTTATCGTCGCATTTCATATGTGCTTGGCAGTGGGCATAACAATTTTAACAATGGCAATTGTGCTAAAAATATTTGTGATTTAGTTTCAAGCTAGAATCAGTTCATAACTAGAGAAAGGGAAGAAGTAGGGAATACAAAGCAGGATGCCTTTGCAAATGTTTCGTGTTGGCATTACCTATTATCTTAGAATAGCCATTTGTCACACATTGCAGAGATGGGAAGAGAGCTACGCACCCCTCCCAAATTCCGGGAACAGAACAAACTGGACTTGCCAGGGAATGGCGTGCATTTATTTGCTTGCTAAGAAATGTCTGTGGCTACCCTTTATTCCTACTGAAAAGCAGACAGTCCCACCCTGCAGCCTTCACTCGTGCAGGTGAGTCTTTGCCGCTCACTGTACATCACGGACGTACATCAGGACGACTCCCGGTTCAAGGCAAAGTGGCAATTATTATTCCTATAGTGAAAAAAAACAGCAGCAGTATTTTGTGATCAGGATTGCTATTTGGTGGTAACAATTCTGAGCCTGAAAAGACAAAGCTGCCACTGCAAGAGTTTGCTGCCCAGAGCGAGTGTGAACATGGGTGTTTGAGAAATGAAGACCACGGGAGGCATCCGTATCCGAGCCCGGCACCACAGCGGATGAAAAATGTTGCCCAACACTGCTCCCCTGAGGCTGTGAGCACTGAGCGTGCAACACTTCCAGACCTGCTGAAGGACCACCACCACCAGCAGCCACTGGACTATCTATGAATTACATGGAAAAACCAAGATTAATATTCTCATTAGACCCTAAAATACAGAGTCTGTGTAATTGGAACCTCATTGCCCATAGGTTCATGTTTACCAGAAAATAATGGTGCTTATCAGAAGAGACCACTTTCTCCTTAACTGCAAAAGCAAATTATTTAAGCTGAGTTTGCTTTATATTTCGTACCTCTCCCTCTGTCCTTTGTTTGCGTGCACACTGAAGGGCCCGTTATCTTGATGCAAGGGGGTTATGTATGTAGCTAAAATTAATGGTAATGAAAATGGCTCCTGTTAATCTCCTGCGCACCGACAGTGAGATAATAGCTCACTTGTTAAGTATGAAGGCCAGACTAGGAGTTGCACTGAAATGAGCAGCACATCGTCTCTGTGGGATTCACGTATAAATGCTAAAGCATTGTTGTGTGCCTACAGTTGATGATTAAAAGGAAATTAGCGCACAGAGCATAAAGGCGCTCTCCTGGCACATGCCTCCAAGCACCACAGAGCAGCTCCAGGTCCTCTTCCCATCCGATACACCCTCACCTTTGGGGAGGATCTCTGGAGAGATTCCCATTATCCTCCGACACCAGGCGAAGCGAGGTTTGTGCTTTCCAACCAGTCCCTCAACCCGCTCTCCCGGCCTTGGAACAACGTGCGGCCTAAGATGCAACCCCCCCCTCCCACCCCCAGTCAGCTCACAGAAATAACCAGCTGAAACACCCCCCCGTAATTTGATATAATTCACCTTCATGGGCCAACCTCCCCTCAGCGCTAAACCACTGAGCGGTGGTGTGGTTTTGTTTTTCATTTTTCCGTCTGGAACCGAAGCGAGCGCACACAGTTCGCTGTAAAGCTTTATTTCGGTTTTGCTTGGTGGAAACAACTCTGTATTTTCTCCCTTTTATTACCGTAAATTCGCTCTCAAAAGAGCCCCCTAAGACTTAGTTTGACGTTTTAGAAGAAAAGGCATTCTCTATGGCAGTGCTGGATGCCCGGGCGATCCTTCCGCCCGACGTGCATTACACTACAAGAAAAGTTTATCCTATATATTTTAAAGTCAGGAATATTCATACATTTTTCTAAGAATTCTCCACCTTTCTGCTTATGTACTACATTTACAGAATACTGGCGTCACAAATTACACTACGCACGCACGAGGGGGTCTCGGGTGGTCGTTTGGGGCATAAGCCCCCCCGACTCCTTTCTCCGTTTTACGGTCACGAGTCTTTTGAGGACAATTTCTTCTCCTTGGATGTTTCCCAACTCTGTTGTCCGGCCAATAAGTTCATCCTTACCCACCTTGTTTGAGCGTTTCCACCGGGATGTATCCATTCACACGGAGAGGAGATTTTTCTCCGGACCTTTTTAACCACCCGGGCCTTGTGAAACACGAAGTTAAAACATCGCTTGGGGAAAGAATTTCTTACCATTCAAGGTGGAACGGATCGCTAATTATTACAGGACACAACTCGAAGGCACCAGCTGCAGAGAAAGCGCGTTCCTTCCCTCAGTTTCGCGGCTCCGTCTGGCGCCGAGGCTCGGCGGGCGCGGGCTCAGGCTCAGGCTCAGGCTCAGGCTCAGGCTCAGGCTCAGGCTCAGGCTCAGGCTCAGGCTCAGGCTCAG